GGTCAGCCTGGCACTCACTAACATTCGTGGGGGCAAAAGAACATGACGAGGTTAAGTGGCAGAAATACCTGACAACACTCTTCCCACTTTAGAGATGCATCTCATTCTGCTCCTTCTCTAGAAATAGTGCTTCAGAAATTTACCTTCCTCCTCATTTCGCAGACTTCCTGTAGTGTGATATGAAATATATTTGGTCTTTTCCTAGTTCTTGTCCCAGAACTCCTAAAACGCTGGGACTTTCCTGAGTGACAGAAGTGTCTTGTTATTCGTTATGAGCTCCATGGATAACACCTGAGTTTATGCTAAGGCAACGACTTAGGATACAGCCCCTGGGGAGCCTGAAGATGGGGAGGAAGGACCAAGAAAGACCAAGTAACTAGAGGATTAGAAGGCTGGATTTCTCAGCTCCACCCACAAACTTCCAGGAAAAGAGAGAGCGAGGTGTGGCTGAAGATCAAGCTCTATAAAAACTCTTGGACACGGAGCTTTGCTGAGCTTCTGGGTTGCTGAACTGGTGCAGGTGCTGGGAGGGTGGTGCGTCCAGGGTGAGCATGGGAGATCCACGTCCCATCTAACCCCCTGCAATACCTTGCCCTATGTAAACCAAAACTAAAATTCTAAAAGCCCCAGCTGACTGAATGGACAGTGCTGTAGGAGACCCAAACAGACAGACAAACAAACAAAAACTAATCCAGGCCATGGAAAGATGTGGGGGCTCAAACATGCCTCATTATACTCTCCTCCCTGTGGAGCTCAGGCACAACTGATCAGCTTTAACCTGAAAACAGCAATTTTTTTTTTTTTTTGAGACCTAAGCTAGAGTGCAGTGGTGCAGTCACAGCTCACTGCAGCCTTGACCTCCCAGGCTCAAGTGATCCTCCCACCTCAGCCACCCAAAGTGCTGGGATTATAAGTGTGAGCCACCATGCCCGGCCTAAACAGAAATCTTAACAGTGATGAAACAGACTATGTTGCAATAAGACAACAAATTCCCAGCCTGACTCTAGCATAATATCATGATAGATAAAGAAGGAAGCTGAAATATTTTACTTCAAAATATGTCTCTTTGTTATATTTTGAAATGGCCCTGCAAAGCCATCTTTTGTGGGGGGAAATCTGCATCTGTAAAGAATCTCTATTAACATAACTAGATTTTTCCCCTTCCAGACCTTCCTAAACCTGAAGAGATTAACTGAAAGTCTAGCACCTTTTAAGGGTCTGAATACAAAATACTGGCCATCCATTGTCTCTAAGGGTAGCCATGTAGGATACTTCATCTAGATAATAAGAACTCTGGTCTCCACAACCCCTTATCTTAACCCAGACACTCTTTTCTACTGATTCTGGGTTTTAGATAATAATTTAAATCTTTTCTGACTTGCCAATCAGAAAATCTTTGAATCTGGGCCGGGTGCGGCAGCTCACACCTGTAATCCCAGCACTTTGGGAGGCCGAGGCGGGTGGATCACAAGGTCAGGAGTTCAAAACCAGCCTGATCAATATGGTGAAACCCCATCTCTACTAAAAATACAAAAATTAGCTGGGCATGGTAGCGCGCGCCTATAGTCCCAGCTACTCAGGAGGCTGAGGCAGAAGAATGCTTGAACCTGGGAGGGGATCAACCTCTTGAACCCTAGAGGTTGCAGTGAGTCGAGATCACACCACTGCACTCCAACCTGGGCGACAGAGCAAGACTCCGTCTCAAAAAAAAAAAAAAAAAGAAAAAAGAAAATCTTTGAATCCACCTATGACCTGTAACACCAGCCCCCAGCTTCGAATCGTTCAACCTTTCTGGACCAAACCAATGTATACCTCACATGTATTGACTGTTGTCTTACATCTCCCTAAAATGTGTCAAACCAAGCTATAGCCCAACCACCTTGTACACATGTTCTCAGAACCTCTTGGTGCCTTGGACTGTGCCTTGGGCCACATTCACTTGTATTTGGCTCAGAATAAACCTCTTTAAATATTTTACAGAGTTTGGCTTTTTTCATCTATACCTATGTACCTCTGCATCTCATTACTGATCTGTATCCTTAATATCTTTTATTATGAGCCTATAAACATAAGTGTTTCTCTGAATTCTGTGAGCAGCTCGGTCAGAGGCATTTAAACCAGAGCAACTCCATCTTGAATAGGGGCTTGGTAAAACAAGGCTAAGACCTGCTGGACCACATTCCCAATAAGTTAAGGCATTCTTAGTCACAGGATGAGATAGGAGGCTGGCACAAGATACAGGTCATAAAGACCTTGCTGATAAAACAGGCTGCTGTAAACAAGCCCACTAAAACCCACCAAAACCAAGATGGCAATGAGAATGACCTCTAGTCATCCTCACTGCTACACTTCCACCAGTGCCATGACAGTTTATAAATGCCACAGCAATGTCAGGAAATCACCCTGTATGGTCAAAAAGGGGAGGCATTAATAACCCCTCCTTGTTTAAAATATACTCAAGAAATAACCAAAAAAAAAGAGTAGCCATTCTTTTATTCCTTTACTTTCTTTTTTTTCTTTTCTGAGACGGAGTCTCGCTTTGTCACCCAGCTGGAGTGCAGTGGCGAATCTTGGCTCATTGCAACCTCCACCTCCCGCCTCCCAGGTTCAAGCAATTCTCCCACCTCAGCCTCCTGAGTAGCTGGGACTACAGGTCCCTGCCACCACACCTGGATAATTTTTGTATTTTTAGTAGAGACAGGGTTTTGCCATGTTGGCCAGACTGGTCTCGAACTCTGGACCTCAAGTGATCCACCCACCTTGGCCTCCCAAAGTACTGGGATTACAGGCATGAGCCACCGCGCCCAGCCTTCCTTTACTTTCTTAATAAACTTGCTTTCACTTTGCATTGCGTACTCGCCCTGAATTCTTCCTTGTGCAAGATCCAGGAATGCTCTCTTTGGGTCTGGATGGGGACCCCTTTCCGGTAACAGCTCTAGAAAATTAACTGAACCCTAAAAGGGAGTCAGGAACTCTGGTTTATAGTTGGTTGGTCAGAAGTATAGGTCTCAGATGCAACACGGAGATAGAGAAAAAAGAAAAAGTACAGGTAGCTCTAACTTGTGATTGGCATCCGAAGTGGGGGCAATCTTATGGGACTGAGCCCTGAAACTGTGGAATCTGACGCCATCTCCAGGTAGAAGGTGTCAGAATTAAATTGAACTAGAAGACACCCAGTTTGTGTCCACTGGAGAACTGCTTGGTGTGTGGGGAGAAAACCCCACATACCTGGTCACAGAAATGTTCTGTGTTGAGTGTGAGAAAGAAAAAACAGTTTGGTCTTTCCTTTCAAATTCCCTGTTCTCAACGCATGGACCAGCACTCTCCCTTACCTTCTAGAAGTGCAACATACAGATGAAAAAAAGTCTCTCAAATAAAAGGAAAATCTGAATGAGAAAAAACACGAGGAGAAAATACAACAAATATGCCCCTGATACAGTTGGGATATTTCTCCCCTCCAAATAGCATGTTGACTTTTTTTTCTCTCTCTCTCTTTTCAGATAGGGTCCCCCTCTGTTGCCCAGGCTGGAGTGCAGTGACATTGTCTGGCTCACTGAAGCCTCAATCTCCCAGGCTCAAGTGATCTTCCCACCTCAGCCTCTCAAGTAGCTGGGACTACAGGTATGTGCCACCATGCCTGGCTAATTTTTTTCTCTTTTTTTTTCTTTTATAATAGAGATGGGGGTCTCACTACATTGCCCAGACTGGTCTCAAACTCCTGGGCTCAAGCAATCTTCCTGTGTTGGCCTCCCAAAGTGCTGGGATTACAGGTGCAAGTCACCATGCCTGGCCCTGGCTAATTTTTTAAATTTGTTGCAGAGATAGGGGACACTATGTTGTCCAGGCTGGCCTCCAACTCCTCAGCTCAAGTGGCAATCCTCTTGCCTCAGCCTCCCAAAGTGCTAAGATTACAGGCATGAACCACCACACCCGGCCCACATGCTGAGATTTTGTCCCCAGTGTAGGAAGAGAACCTAGTGGGAGGTGTTTGGGTTGTCGGGGAGGATCTTGCAGGAAAAGCCTGGTGCCATTCTTTCAAGAATGAGTGAGTTCCCATTCTTAGTTCCTGCAAGATCTGGTTGTGAAAAGGAGCCTGGCTCCCCTACCTCTCTTTCTTGCTACTTCTCACCATGTGACAACCCTGCTCCCCTGTATTAGTCCATTTTCACACTGCTGATAAAGACATACCTCAGACTGGGAAGTTTACAAAAGAAAGAGGTTTATCGGACTTACAATTCCACGTGGCTGGGGAGGTCTCACAATCATGGTGGAAGGTGAAAGGCACATCTCACATGGTGGCAGACAAAAGAAGAGGGCTTGTGCAAGGAAACTCCCATTTATAAAACTATCAGATTTCATGAGACTTATTCATTATCCTGAGAACAACACAGGAAAAACCCCCCCATGATTCAATTACTTCCCACCAGGTCCCTCCCACAACACGTGGGAATTCAGGATGAGATCAAATTGCGTGGGGACACAGCCAAACCATATCATCCCCCATCTGCTTTCCACCATGAATGGAAGCTTCCCAAGGTCAAAAGCAGATACTGGCACCGTGCTTCTTATGCAGCCAGCAGAACCATGAGCCAAATAAACCTCTCTTCTTTATAAGTTACCCAGTCTCAGGTATTACTTATAGCAACATAAACAGATCAATATACCCTCTAATAATTGGGTTAACATGATAAAATTATATTTTCCTCTTTCCTACTATCCAAAACTTTACAATTAACTAGCTATTTTATTAAATACAATATGCTGACTTTTTTTTTTTTCTTTTGAGACAGAGTCTCGCTCAGCCGCCCAGGCTGGAGTGCAGTGGCGCTATCCTGGCTCACTGCAACCAGTGTATCCCAGTTTAAACAATTCTCCCGTCTCAGCCTCCCGAGTAGCTGGGATTACAGGCACTCACCATCATGCCTGTCTAATTTTTGTATTTTACTAGAGACGGGGTTTCACCATGTTGGCCAGGCTGGTCTTCAACTCCTGATCTCAGGTTATCTGCCTGCCTCAGCCTCCCAAAGTGCTAGGATTACAGGCGTGAGCCATTGCACCCGGCCGCGTTGACTTTTATGGCATAGAAAATGATTTCTTGTGCTCACTTCAGCGCACAAGCACTACATCTTTTTAAATGATTCCTTTTAAGACAACAAGCTTGAAGACTCTTGGAGAGTCTCAAAAATGTGTCACTAAACTAACCATCCATTACCTTTCTGTATTTTCCTAATTGCTGGGGCAAATATTGCAAGGGTTACCATCCCCAAACTGGGTGCCCATCTCCCCCCCAAGAAAATTATTTTTCAATGGCTGCAAAAACCACATAGGTTGCTTATTGTTTTTCTAGTCATCTCCCTCAGCTCCATCATTTCCTGGATAAACTCGCCTACCAGAAGCAGCAAGACTGAAAATCTCTGTGGTCAGATTGTGGAGGGAAGAGGCACCAGGCTGGGTGGGGGAACAGGCTTGACCACAGTGATGTGCTGAGAGGGAGAGACCTTAGAAAGAATGAGGCTGCTGCAGGGACGTAATAGGTCTGTTAGAAATTGGTCGAGATTTCAGGTCAGAGGCCTGAGTTTCAGCTCTGACCCCGCGCTGCCTCAGTGACGTGCCTGGTCATCTACAGATCAGAATTGGACAACCGGAGTCTCATCCCAGCTCGAGGACATACAGAGGACACAGAAGGGCTTCACACCCTCTGACTACCCAATGTGTCAGGGCCTCAAAGGAAAAACCCATGGTTTTCTTTATCCTTCCCTTCCACAAAGGGACCAAAGGCATAGCCACATTTTCCTAGCGAGGATTTCAAGCTATATGACAATATCTGAATGGAAAATCCAGACATGTGGTCTGAAAACAGAAGAAGATATTTGAAAACAGGAGTGTGTTTAGGAGGCTGCTGCCTATGGTGGCAGGGAGTGGCTGGCTACTGCCCGACATCTCCTCACCAGCTGAGGCATCACCATCCTGCTTCCCTTCTCCCACTGAAAAATCCACATTCGATTTTCTGTTCTGAGTCCCTGAGAGAACCAAAACAAGTCTCCTCTGAGAGGACACTTCCTTCCAGGCTCCAGAGTCACAGGAGAAGAGCTCACAGATTCCCACCCGCCAAGACAATGAGAAGCTGTGTCCCTCCTCACACCAGGCACAACAGCCCCTTGGCAAGTCACACACCCATATGTGCTATGGAGGAAAGAATCTCAAGGGGGCAAATGCCTCAGGAAAAACCCTCAGTTTTCATCAAGCTCTTGTACACACAGCAACCCAGCAACCACCTCCGGGCTCTCCGGGCCAGCCTTGGCTCCAGGTCTAAACACCTGCTTCAGGGCCAGCAGTTTGTCCACTGGGGTCAGGAAAAAAATTCCCCACTGGCAGCTTAGCCATTCAGACTCCTTAACTTCTGCGTTACCCTAGAAGCAATTACCAGTGACCAGCATAGCAACTGGAGGATATATAATACCTGGGAGAAACGCACCAACTAGGGCAGAATGATCACCTGTGCATCTGCCTCATCTTCATCCCAGCCTCTTGCCTGATGTGTAATTGGCACCCTCTGAGTGCATAACCACCAAGGAAATTTTCAAAATACCAACTCCCACAGAGGAAGCTGGTCAGTATGAAATCAGCCCACAGGGTTCCATCTCCACCGTCTCAGTTTCCACAAATTGTTTTAATCTAGAAACCACATCTACAGCCAAGGGCTAGCTGCTTCTCACGGAGGAGTCCACCTAGACCATCAGCAGCATGATCCTCACACCTGTCTGCTTCCCACAACCCTCACACACATCTCATCGACTGCCCACATTCCTACCTTCCTTCAGAACCTCCCCCTCCACATCTGCACGTTCTCACGCGGGGGAGGGCCGACTGCTTCCAGGCCCTGGGGGGATAGGAGAGTGGAGCTGTAATGAGCTCAGGCTTTGGAATCAGGACAGGCTTCAAATCCCAGCCTTGGCTTCTGTTGGACCAGGAGAGTGTTAATCTCTGAACTTCGGGTTCCTCAGCTGTAAAACCTGCCTGGGGGGACCGAGACATTGTTGTGAGGATTAAATGTGATAATGTACTTAAGGCTGCTTGGCAGAAAACTTGGCGCAGAGTAAGACCAGTCCCTGCCCTCAAGGAATTATGAATGTGGTCGAAGTTTTTGCCAGTTAACCCTATCCAGCACCGATCACTTACTTAATCCACTGACCAATCATAGGCCTCCTTTGCATTTGTTCTTCGCTTTGTGTTAAGAAGGACGTGAGTTTTCTCTCTCCCACGCTTCCTGTGCTTCTCATAGGTAGCAGGGCACACACAGGGTGGAGAAGCTACACCAATAGTGACAGGCTGAAGGGGAGAGCATTTGGATGCACAAAATCACCCTGCTCCCCTGCAAATGGAGCTGAAACCCGAAACAAGTCTCCCTCCAAAGGTCAGAGGAAGGAGATGAAGAATCAAGATAAATATACCAATGCTATATATTTATTACAGGCAAACCACACAGTTAGGCTGGCACCAGAGAGATGACCTAACCTAGCAGGCTGGGTACAATCAGTGAGCGGCACTACCAGTGGTCAGACATGGAGCTAAGTGGAAACCCTGAGGCCCTCTACTCTCTAGCTGCTGGTCTGCTAGACTGTGAGCAATCATGACGGGGGTAGGCATGTTATGCAGAAGAAGGGACATAACAGCCAGGAGAATAAAAGGTAGTAACAGTGAAGGTATCCTGGACAGAGACACAGAGAGGTGCTTCTGCATCCCCTAGAAAGAGCCTGCAGTTGGCCACCACCCAACTCACTCACCTGTCATCAGTTTTCCCTTCCCCCTCCAGAGAATAATGACAAGAGGACATCCTGGGAGATGTGGCTTCATCCAATTTCTGACTTTTCTGAACCTAGCGATTCAGAGAGGGGTTCCAATCCTCAGTTTGGGTTCTGAACAATCACCACAACCAGTTTTGGGCAAGGAAGTTAGAAAGACATGTGAGTATTAATGCGAAGAGGCTGCCCCGTCAACTGCAGACTACACTATTCCCTGAGCTCAGAGGGCAACATGGCCAGCAAAAAAACTGTGCCGTCTTATGTTCAATAGTAGTTAAGATGATACTTTGCAGTTAGACCACTGAAAGAAAAGAGCAAGACTCCAGGCCTTCACCTCCCCACGCTTCCTTCCCGCTACACAGAACTGCAGAAAGTAGTTGCCTCGAGTACCACTTTGAGAGTGTCTCTCCCAAGCTCCAGAAACTACAGTAGTTACCCATTGAATTGATCCACTTTGCCTGGGAAGCACTCTGCATATAGGATCTCCATACCTGTTTGATGACTGAGTGATTCATTGAAATTCAAACTCTTTGGCATAAATCACCTTCGGTCTGTCAGCCTCACCACCTTCATTTTTCCACATTCCTCAACAAGATCATATTTGGTCATCCATCTCCATCTTCAAGCCAATACATCCAAACTGCTTTCACCTATAGGCATTTGTTATCCCTTCAAAACTCAGCTCTCTATAGGTCAGTGGTTGTCTAGGGCTGGGGGAATGGGATGGAGAGGGTGAAGGTGCTAGCTAAAAAGTATGAGTTTCAGCCAGGCACAGTGGCTCATGCCTGTAATCCCAGCACTCTGGGAGGCCAAGGTGGGCAGATCATGAAGTCAGGAGTTCAAGACCAGCCCGGCCAACATGGTGAAACCCCATCTCTACTAAAAATACAAAAATTAGCCGGGCTTGGTGGCATGCTTCTGTAATCCCAGCTACTCAGGAGGCTGAGGCAGGAGAATCACTTGAACCCAGGAGGCAGAGGCTGCAGTGAGCCGAGATTGAGCCACTGCACTCCAGCCTAGGTGACAGAGTGAGACTCCGTTTCAAAAAAAAAGAGTATGAGTTTCTTTGTGGGGCGACAAAAGTTTTTTGAAACCGACAGTGGTGATGGTTGTACATAGCTGTGAATATACTAAAAACCGTTGAATTATACTTTAAATAGGTGAATTGTATATTATATAAATTATATCCCAATAAAGCTGTTTTTAAAAACTCAGCTCTGTACTTATCTCCTTTCAGAAATTTTCCCACACTCATGAATAAAAAGAATTTCACTTTAAACAACAGAGAAAAAGGAATCATTTATTTACTCATTATTAATTCATCAACAAACATCTATAGATCTATAGATCACTGTAAGAGGTCAGGTACAGTGCTATGAAGATACAAAGATGAACACGATTGGTCTTGGAGTATTCCAGTGAATATTGGAAAGTTAGTAAGCCATGCTATCTTTACCATTTTTTCCACTTCTTCCTTCCTAGGGTTTAAGGAGAAGAAAGGGGTCTCCTAATCCTCTTCACATTTTCAACTTTGTGCAGGGAAAATCCGCAAACTTGAGCTTCAAGTCAGTGACAAAAAAAAAAAAAAAAAAAAAGAAACAAAAGGAAAAAAGAAAACTAAACAAATAATGAAAAAACAAAAATGAAAAGAAATCCACAAGCTGTGGTCCTCTCGGCCACTTAACTTTTACCACATCAGACTGAATTTCATAGCAAGCCTGAAAGGTGTTTTTCTCTGCTTTGGAGAGGTAGATTTGGGGTGGGGAATGTGGAGACGTCATGCTGGGCCTGGTATGCTAATCCTCCCTAATCCAGGCCAGAGCAGAGCCATTTTCCAACCATCATTTCCAAATCCTGAATCATGTGAGCAGGCTCAGGTGCTGCTCCAGGACACGTGAGTATGTAACCTCATACTTTTAAGCAAACATCCATTCCATGTGAAAGACTCACAGAGTAATGAAATAAGCCTTCACCCTTGAACAGGAAGAGGAAGCTGGCAACACATTTTCACATGCACTACTCTTCAGACTTCCCATTAATCCACAGACATCCTCTTCTGCAAATGAAGAAGGTGAAGCTCATAGAGGTAAAGTGAAATGCTCAAGCTAATCTCCATAGCTAATCGATGACAGAACTTAAATGTATAGCTGTCTTCTGACATTAAGTCCAATGTTCCCTGCACTCCATTGCCTCCAAATGCCGATTCCTTTTTTTTTTTGGAAACGGAATCTTGCTCTGTCACCCAAGCCGGAGTACAGAGGCGTGATCTCAGCTCACTGAAACCTTTGCCTTTGCCCACTGAGTTCAAGCAATTCTCATGCCTCAGCCTCCTGAGTAGCTGGGACTACAGGCACGCACTACCATGTCCAGCTAATTTTTGTATTTTTAGTAGGAACAGGGTTTTGCCATGTTGGCTAGGCTGGTCTCGAATTCCTGGACTCAAATTATCTGCCTCCTCAGCCTCCCAAAGTGCTGGGATTACAGGCATGAGCTACCACACCCTACCACCAGCTCCTTCTCAGGCCACTTGGTGGTATCTACAAGCACCTGTTCACTTGATTGCTTCTTTCTTGGAAAGAAGCCTTTCATCTTCAAGGCCTAAAAATGATGGGGCTTTGTTTTACACATAATCCAAATAGATTCCAACAGAAGGCAGTACCACAGTAGCTAAGAGGAGATGTGAGTCACACAAATTTGAATTTGAATCCAGAGTCTGCTTTTTCAGATACATATGTCCTTGTTTGTTTTGTTTTGGTTTTTTGTTATTTTGGAAATGGAGTCTTGCTCTGTCGCCCAGGCTGGAGTGCAGTTGCGAGATCTCCGCTCACTGCAACCTCCACCTCCCAAGTTCAAGCAATTCTCCTGCCTCAGCCTCCCGAGTAGCTGGGACTACAGGCATCCACCACCACACCCGGCTAATTTTTGTATTTTTAGTAGCGACAGTGTTTCACCGTGTTGCCCAAGTTGGTCACGAACTCCTGAGGCCCGCCTCAGCTTCCCAAAGTGCTAGGATTACAAATGTAAGCCACTGCGCCCGGCCGATACATAGGTTCTTCTAATCCAAAAAGTCACCACTTAAAATAACCACCTGAACTACATCTAGGTGAAAATCCTGCCAAATTTGAAGGATATGTCCCCAAATCCAACAAAAATAAAGGTTCTACTACACACATAGACAACTCTTGAAACCACGAATACCTCCCTAAATCTAACCAAATCTACAGTCATCCCCATCCCAGCCAGCAATGCAAGACTTTTTTTCTTCATACACACACACACACATATATATAACATTTTAAGAGCTGGGGGTGGGGGTCTCACCATGTTTTCCAGGCTAAAGTGCAGTGGTTATGCACAGGCACCATTATAGCCTATTAAAGCCTTGAACTCTTCGGCTCATGTGATCCTCACACCACAACCCAAGTAGCTGGGAATACAGGCCATGCCATTGCACCCGGCTCTTTTTACCATATTTTGTCCTCAGTATATATGACAGAATGTCAAGATCAAAAGAAGGTCTCTTTTAGTTTCTTTTACATTTGAGGGAAAAGCCAATAAGCCATGACAAACTACTTTATTTATTTATTTATTTAAGACGAAGTTTCGCTCTTCTTGCCCAGGCTGGAGTGCAATGGCATGATCTTGGCTCACTGCAACCTCCACCTCCCAGGTTCAAGCAATTCTCCTGCCTTGGCCTAGTAACTGGGATTGCAGGCACCTGCTACTACACCTGGCTAGTTTTTTGTATTTTTAGTAGAGACGGGTTTCACCATGTTGGCCAAGCTGGTCTCAAACTCCTGACCTCAGGTGACCCTCCCGCCTCACCTCAGGTGACCCTGCCGCCTCACCTCCCAAAGCGCTGGGATTAAAGGCACGAGCCACCGCCCCGGCCTGACAAACTACTTTAGTTCAAAGTTAGCTCCCACCAAGTTTGCCCCATTTCCCTCTGCTCTGTGAAAAGGGTAGCAGGATGAAGTACCAAACAGAAGGAACTTCTATCCCCAGGGTCCACAAAAATCCATGGAACAAAGCTCTATATCTGCACCTGCAGAGGGAACCATGCTCAGTTATGGCAAACAGAAAAGAGAAACTCTGGAAGGTCCAAAACGCCCATCTTCTGCGTAACCAATCCTGCTCCTCAATCCCCACCCCACAGAGACACATGGCTCATCCTGTTTCTCCTGCCACTCTTCATATTGTTCCCCTCCGCCAGTCTTACGCACCCAACCTCATTCTTTTCCTGCTGTTTTCTACTACCCATCTGTATTTGTCATGGTGTCAGCCTCTTCCTTCAAGAAGTCTGCCTCTACTTCTCCAGAACTCTCTCTTTCTAGTACGCAGCACAGTATGTTTTTCAATGGCTCCCACAGGTCTTCTTTTTTTTTTTTTTTGAGATATAGTCTCACTCTGTGGCCCAGGCTGGAGTGCAGTGGCATGATCTCAGCTCACTGCAGCCCCCGCACCCAGGTTCAAGTGATTCTCTTGCCTCAGCCTCCCAAGTAGTTGGGATTACAGGAGCCTGCCACTATGCCCAGCTAATTTTTGTACTTTTAATAGAGACAGGGTTTCACCATGTTGGCCAGGGTGGTCTCGAACTCCTGACCTCAAGTGATCCACACGCCTCGGCCTCCCAAAGTGATGGGATTACAGGCGTGAGCCACTGTGCCCAGGTGTTCATTTCTTATACAAGTGTCCTCTCATTTTCCTTCTCACGGTCTACAATCCCTTACTCTACCTATCCTTCCCCCACACCCTCCTCAACATCACCACTATTAGCTGTTACTAGACTGAGCTCATAGAAATATTCAGTAAGTATTTACTGAATTGAAATCAATGTAATTGAACAGATTTGGAGAAGGAATTCCAGGGAAAGTGATCCAGTTGCTCCGCACAAGAACACAAATCCATTAAGAGACAGGGCCCTAGAGTCCCAAAGTAAATATGTAGGATTTGTGGTACCAATGAACAAGTGAGGACTCCCTGCCCTCCACCAGGCAAGGGGCTTGCCTCAGACACAACTCCCTGAAGCAGCAGTCCTGACCAGAGCTGTGCAGAGCTGCTCTATGGTGCCCTGCACCAATTCTCTACGTGAAGGAAGCTCAAACTTCTCCCATTACCCAGATGCCACATTGACCTAGGCAAAAAAGTAGCTGGTACAAACCACAGTCTTGTAGGTATCCATGTCTAAAGAATGATATGGTAGGAAATGTGACTCACTCAATGTCAATATTTCACTTCCACACAAATGCGCCAGTTAAGGCAAGCCGGTGTGGCCAAACGGAAAATAAGATGGAAACGGAGTTCAGAAATATAAACCACTTAACTTCTTCTCTGGCCTTTTGCTATCTCCATCTGTAGAAAGGGAGCCATAGTAATACCTACCTCAGAGAGTTTGCGGTAGGGATGGAATCTGGAGGTACATGAAGTGCTCAACATAGTGGCCCGCATGGAAAGGGCTCGATAACTATTAGCTGCTCTTATTATTATTATTTATTTCGCTGTGGGGATCGAAGGAGATGGAATGCAGCGTGAAGCCCCACGTAAACGTGTCGTGCAACATGAAGCCCCTCACCCTGGGCTGGGGAGCGGGTGGCACGTGTGGAAACTGAAAGCCACCATCCCTGGGACCAGGCGCAGCGCCCGCCAGAAGCGCCTCTGGTGACGGGCTCCTACTCTCCCCCAGGACGTTTCCCCCAGGATGCCCCGAGGCCCTGGACGGCTCTGGAGAGGAAGGGAGGGAAGGGAAGGAGACGGATGGAACGGGGACGTACCTGCTTTCACTGCACTCCTTCCGCTCCCTCACCCTCAGCCACTTGCGGAGGAGGAAGCGTTTTCGGCGCGGGGACGCGCTGGGTGTGGAGCAGTTGGACCACGGGGTGTCTTCGTCGCTGGAGGGCGTGATCTCGATGGACGGCAGCTGCAGGAACTCTTTGCCGGGGGTCAAGACGCCGGGTAGGTCCCGGGCCAGCCCCGCCTCCAGGCTCTGCTCCTGTACGTTCTTCATGCGGCGCATCTTGAAGCGCCGGCGGCGAAGCGTGGGGGTCGACGAACTGGACCAGACCGGGCTGCCCTCAGCCGCGCCCTGCGGCTCGGGCACCTGCAGGGCGGGCAGCGGCCGGTTCTCCATCATGTTGGCCGCCGGCATGGGGGCCGTCGCCTCTGCGCTCGCCCTGCGCCCTCCGCCAGCGGCCTCGTTCGCGTCTCCCGCTGGCTGCTCCCCACCCTCGGCCCGCGGCACACTCCCCTCTCCAGGGGCCGGAGGACCAAGTTCCTTTCCCAGAGCACAGAGAGGAAGGGACGCGAGGAGACGCGGCGTGGCGCGCCGCCTCCCAGAGTCTAACTTTTCGGAGCGCGAGTCCTCCGGGCCGTCAGCCGCCGGCGAGGCCACCCTGGCGGGGCGGGAGCTGCCTGCCAGCCACCCGGTCGCCCTCCTGGGGCTCCCCTCGCGCGCCCGCTTGTTTTTCTTCCGCTGCGCTCCCTCGCTTGCTGCGTCTTTGCCTTAGCGGAACTCGGCAGCCCGGGGCCCCAGGGGGCGGTGCAGCAAACTCTCAGCGGTTTGCGTTCAGCAGACCAGGTTGGGGAGCCGGCTTGGCGCTGCAGGGAGGTAGAGAGCAGGAGGAAGAGGCAGTGGTAGGAGGGAAAGGGGGAGAGAGAGAGAGGAAGCGAGACACTGGATAAAAACAAAAAAGGAGGAGGAGGAGCGGGGGCTGGGGGCGGGGTGGGGGGACTATCCTGAATGGACTAGCACTGGCAGCGACCGCTAGTGTAACTGTACACGGATTCCCCAGGGGAGGGACTCTACCTCCAAGTAAAGGCTGCTCCAATCAGCCTGGTGAAATAGGATCACAAACCAAACTTTCTCAGGGCAATGATTGGCCCGGCAGCTCCCATTAGTCAAACTCGGCTATTTCCTTGGGGGTGGGGGGTGCAGAGAAAGGGGAATCAATGAATTCAGTCCTCACTCTCTCAGGCCACCCATGACACAGGGTTGAAGGAAAATGAGGCGACTTTTCAACTAGCTCTTGTCTCCTAAGAAAGGCACTTTGAATTATTTGGGGGTGTGGGTAGTGGCACTGCAGGCCGGAGTATAGTCAGAGGAGGAAAGCAAGGTTGCTGGAGGCTGCTTCCAAAATGACAAGCTGAGAAGAGAGGACAGTTCTCCTGTGGCGGCGTGAGCTGAGGACACCAGACATGACACACCAAGGAAAGACAGACAATAGGGTCTGAGAGACAAAGGACACAGGACCAGTAAGGACAATAGGGGCTGAACCCTGTACATGAGCCAGCTGCCAGTACTATAGCTGCGTCCTGAGCAAAGAATGAAATGAGGAGTGGGTGAGCAGCCGCAAAGCAATGCCTCCAACAGAGCCCCAGGGAGTTGAGTGTACCCCCCCCTTACATTCCTGAGGGCTGATTCAGTTCTGCTCCAGTCTGCCGTGCACTGGGTCGCAGAGTCCAGTATGTCCCCATGTCATGGAACCTAGGAAGTCTGGGTCAGTCCTGGTAGCATCCCAAGATGTGCTGAACCACACTCATTCTCTAGACCCAGGCCCTAAGAGATCATCAACCCTAGAACTGATCTGTCCTATTTAGGTGCTCTCTGTGGGCACTGAGTCTAACCCAGCCCAGCTCCTAGAGCAAGGCTGTAGCACCCATTCTCCTCCTTCATCCGTAGCCCAATGCATTTGTCTCTTGGGTCAGTAACTGTTTTGTTTGTTTTGTTTTTAAGAAACAAAGTCTCACTCTGTTGCCCAGGCTGGAGTGCCGTAGTGCAGTCATGGCTCACTGCAACCTTGAATTCCTGGGCTCAAGCTGTCCTCCCACCTGAGCCTCCTAAGCAGCTGGGAGTACAGGTGCACACCACCACACACAGCTAAGTTTCATTTATTTTTGTAGATATGAGGTCTTGCTATTTGCACAGGCTGGTCTCAAACTCCTGGCCTCAAATGATCTACCCGCCTTGGCCTCCCAAAGTGCTAAGATTACAGGCATGAGCCACCATACCCAGCCTGGTCAATAACTTTCAAAGAGATCATGAGAAGCACCCAAGAATATACCATGAAGTCCACAATCTGATCCACCCCTCTTTTCTGCCACTCTCAGAGTCCAGTTTCCATCTGGGAGCCAATGCCCAGCTTCCGTGCCAGGACAAAGGTCACATTTCACAAGTATCCTAAAGCTGAGGAAAATTCACACCCCTAAAGACCACAAGAATTCACTGCAAGTAAATACATCCCTGCAGTTCAGCAAGACATCAAGGGCTGACAGCTGGCTATGGGTCTACCAAGCTCTGCGATGACACTTGTCAAGTATGGAAAAGCTCAAGGCATGCTGACATTACACAACCTTTGAGAGGCTGGGAAACTGAGGGAAATACGTCTTCCTCAGGGAGAGAGATGGTGCGGCTGAAAAGCCAAGGCCAGGCCCACCCATAAATGACTCCCTGGAATGTCGGCCCCGTTTCTGAAATCCAGCCACTGGCCCTCTCAGGAGTGATTTGGTATCACTCTATTTTAACTCCCGGACATAGCACAGAAAGCAGAAACCCCTTCCCATCGGGTGTCAGGCCTGGCAAGGAGCAGGTCATCTCTTCCGGCTCCAGGGATGCTGAGGCGGCTGCGCTGTAATTCCAAACTTCAGGATCCAGAGCTAAGCCAAGTTCCACAGAGTTTGTTCACTCCCTTGTACTTCCTCCAAGGACGAGTGTTTTGCAGGGGATCTGATAACTTCCCAGTTCAAGGAACCTGCGTATTGGGTGGGCTCTTGACATAGAAGATGAGGGTCTCAGGAGCTTATGGGAAGAAAGGAAGCCAGGACACTACCATTCGCTTCGAGGCCAAAAAAACAAAAGGATGGTGCACAAGACAGGGGCAAGAAGATTCTATGGGCAACTTGGGAAGAGGGAGAAACAACAAGGGGGGAAGCTTTAAGTTTGTTCTGGGCACTCTGAATTTAAGTGTATACCTCTTACAAGGAAGAAAAGCCACCAGCTCTCTCTTCCCACACACTTCAGCCACTTTTCCCACCCACAGGTGATTCTGAACCTGAAATCCTATGAGATTTAATTTAAGCCTTGGGCACAGCAGTGGCTAAGAGTGATCATTTACATTTCACCTGGCCTGAGAGAAAACCTCCAAACAGGAATCTAAAATGTCTCGCTTGGGAAGCAGATACACAGAACTCTTAGCCTGAACACTGTCCTTACTCACTTGCACCTGCAGTCCCTTCTTTTTTTCAAGCCATAACCTTTTTGACCATTAAAACCCTGTTCAAAACACGTCCCCCAGCCCTTTCCAGCTGTTTCTCTTGCCCATGGCTCTGGCAAGTAAGATAATAAATGAGGCACTGCTTTGAAATATGAAATGCCCTGCAGCTGTGAGCCATCATTACCATTAAGACTATAAGCTCCTTGAGGAAAGAATCAAGTTTCTCCTTCCTTTAATTCTCTCCAGTATCCTGTGCTTTTTATGTGTTTGGTGACCTCTACACTTTTGGAAAGAGCTTTCATACACCACACTGTGTCTTCCCAGCAGCCTTTACAATTGATGAAAGTGGGACAGAGAGATTCAGTAGTTTATCCAAGGTCACAGATAAATGACGATGGCTAATCAATGACAAGGCCAGAACTGGAACTCACGGCTTCTGAAGCCAGTTTAGAGGCCTCCAAAAGTGTAGAGAAGCAATTTCTCAAAGTAGCTGATGCCAACGTCAGAACCAAAGAGTTTCCATGCCCTGCATCAGAATCTCAGCAATTGCATTTGCTCCCCAAGTCTCCCCACTCCCATATTTCTTCTCTGCAATATTTGGCTCTCAGCAACCCCACAGTTATCTGTGAAACTGGCTTCACCTTTGCCCCCATTCCCCGCTTCCCCAGACAGGTGGTAGCCAGAACAACCCAGCCTCCCCTCTCCCACCTGCAGCCAGGCCTCTGACTTTAAATGAAAGGAGGTCATATTACCAAGCAACTGTTGTTTATTCTCAGCTGCAAAGGCTCCCTTTTCCTACAGATACAAGACACCCAACACCTGTCTATTACTTCTGGAGACTCATAAACTATTATTATTATTCAATTTCCAGGAGAAAACTTAAGTGAAACATAGTAGCTTCCAGGCTAGATTTCTCCTGGGTACACATCCAAGTAAATGTGAACTGGAAGGCGCAGGCACCCCGGACACATTATTGCACCTGCTCCAGGATGCCAAGGCAAGGAACTCCCACGGACACAGGAACATCTCCCCACAACACTGTTGTTGCAAGAAAGACAGTCCCCACTCTCAATGCTGGGACACAGAGTCTCTCCCTGACACAACATTCAGAATGGCCAATCCCAACGGTTGGCCCATTACAAGGGAAAGAAGCAGGCAGTAGGCATAGAAGAAGTGGAATTTGCGGCTGGCAGGAAACCTGGAAATACGGACAGAAACGTGGTCGATGCTGAGAGCAATGTTAACTGTCTTCAAACACACAACGAAGGATGGCCAGATTTCACTCTGCAACTCTCATTTTGCTGCTGAGCAAGAGGAAATGCATTTCTGTAGAGTGCAGCATGGGGGATTTGGGATAGATGATAAACATTTACCGAGGGTAAGGCTGTTAAGGACTGGCATGAATGACTAAGGCTGGGTAGAGAATGGCCTTCTCTGTAGATCTTTTAAAGGTAACTGGAGCCTAGTTAGAGGCGGTGGCAGGAAAGAGATGATCTCTTAAAGGCCCAGCCCACCCTACTACTGTGGGTCTCTAAGACCCAGATGGTTGCTTTTTAAAGTAGAAGCAATTCGCTTACACCTAAAACAAAGTCTGTTTGAGCTGACCTGTTACTGGCTCAATGGCATTTTGATCATCGGATGCTAAACCCTCCCTGAGACCTACAAACAGCTTTAATATCTTGCACTGATGAACTAGAAATACAGGGATCAATTACCAGGATGGTACTGAAGCAAGGAAGTGAGGGCTCGGGGAGGAAGACAGGAGAAAGAATTGGAGGGAATAACTTAAACTCTTCCCTGTGGTATCTCCTTTTGTTTCTTTCACGAGTCCTCCCTTCATTTCCCCAGGGAGGGGCTCGCTACTTTAAGAAGGGTCAGGGGACGCTGCACTGAATTGGTGTAGTTAGAGAAGGAGTGTGGAGGAGGAGGCTGATGCTAGTTAAATACAACCTAAATCAAACCACAGTTGACCAACCACCACATCCAGCTTCTCCTTCCAAGGAAAAAGGGAGAAAATGCTTCAGGACTTGGATGGAGACTCAGTTTTGGAGAACAGAGCCCTGGGCAGTGCTCTCAACCTTGGGGAGTGCACAGGATCAGCTGTTTGCTTCCAACAGCCTTCACAGGGGCCAGGGTGAGCAATGACGTCACCTCGGGAGAAGGACTATCACCAGATAAGCCTCATTGGTGTAATTGCTCATCAAAAGGCTTCGGCGTCAAAGAAGAATGTTTTGCACAACATTTGGCTGCCCTTGTACTTGACACCAAGAATACCAAGGCACAGAAGGACATTATCTCTTGTCCTCTAAATCTTGCAAGAACTTATGTGCAAACCAGGGCTGAAAAAGACTCTCTGAGGTTGCCCCATCTGTCC